CAGCCCCATCGCCCCTGTAATCCAGACTCGGCTCCGAGCTCCGGCGAAGGGAACAATTGCAGGCAGAGCCAGTGGGAGTTCAAAAGGAGCAATACTGAATTAAACGATAGCAATTTCCCTTATTTTCTGCTGCTTAAAGGTGCACGCTGGGAATGTTTAAATATCCTTGTTATCCCCTTCAATACCTAGGGAACATTTTTTTAACGAGCTGGGCTGCAATCAGGCCGTGTTCGTGCCAGGCATCCCTTACAGCAGCCGTTCTCCAAAAGAGCTGTCCAGATCAAAGCCCTTTGAGGCAGAAGAAAAGGCACCTGCTGGACTGAGGGCTCCGGGCAGCTGGGTGAGCCGGGGTAGGTGCTGGGGGGACACTTCGCCCAATTTTACTGACACAAAACAGAGCTCCCCTCTTCTCACAAGAGGGAATTTTCGGTGTTTGGTTTAGGTTTGGTCTTTGTTTGGTTGGGTTTTTTCCCTGTGTTTTTTTTTTTTTTTGCTATTGGTCTGGGGATGAGCTGAAGCTGAGGATAACATCTTATCTCAGGCTGAGATGGTCTGATATAAATGAACTTGCTTGTCTTCAGGCTCCAGTCCCCTTCCCCTCTGAAGCTACCAGGTTATGTGGGTACCTTGGAAGGCATCGAACCGCTGTTTGGCCTTTGGAGTGAGCTACCAAAATCTCCTGAGCTGTTAAAACCTCTACCTGAGGTAATAAAACACTTGCTGGGGAGAGAGGCAGGAGGAAGGCACGAGGCTTTCCAGCCCTGAGCGGACTCGGGGGAGAAGGGATTGCCTCACCACGAGGCTCAGTCAAGGCTGGAGCAAAGGGAGCTGGTGCCCAGGGTGGAGGCTGAGGGCAGGCAGCGGTTGGCACGGCCCTGCAGGCCTGGGGATGGCCCTGGAGCTTCTCTGATGCTGTTCCTTCAGTGTGCATGCACCCTCTCGCTTCAAAACGCAGCTTTTGTTGCCACTTTCTTTGTCTGGTGGCACCGCATGGCGAAAGTGCCCAGCGAATGCAAAGAGGTGCCGTCCACGGGGTTGGGGCTTTGCACTGAGACAAAGACCTTTATTTAGAAATCACCCAGCTCCAGACCCCTCTTCCTCACCCAAATCCACGAGCCACCAACCTGCACCCCAGATTTTGAGGTCACTGGGATTGCTGGAAGAATCTCAAATGAAAACCTGTGTCTGAACATCCCATGGTAGCAGCCACTCACAGTTTCAGGGGTTGTGTGGATGTGGTTCATATAAAATAACCCACATGGCTTGTCTAAAGCCACACATATTTGTGGACATATCAGAGCAAATACTTAAAAAAGTCAAAAATCATCTTTGATCCATATGTGACATTTCTTACAGAGCTGAAACACCTCCCTCGTGGAGCCTCTCTTTGCTGAGAGGAAAAAAAAGGAGGGAATTTCCCTTAAAAATCCCAGAGGGGAAGCTCCATGCTGGGGCCCTGCAGGCTCCCTGTACCTTGCACAGGCTTCGAGGCTCTCACTGGTGTCCAGCACCCACCAGTGAGCACAGGGAGCACCCACTGCTTTTCCCCAAGCTGGGCAGGGTTGCAGGCAGAGCCTTTTTACAGTGGCTATTCTGCCCCTCCACAGGCATAGAGGGGCAGAGGGAGTATCTCCCTGAAGGTGCCCTGCAAGGAGGGAGCCCAGAGTTGCTTGGATGGGTGGATGGAGCTGGAGTGTGCCCGTGTGCAGCTGGGTGAGAATCTCACCGTGCCCCCCACCCTGCACCCCACGGGGACACTCGTGTGCCACACGTGTGGTACACACACCCTGCATGCACGGGGCACACCCACGCGGGGCACACAGCCACGCAGGGCACACACCAGGCGGGTACACCTGCATACCTGGGGTTTATGCAAATCCCAGGGGTTTCTGAGCAGTTTTGGGGGTGCTGCTGCCGATTCACACCCCCTCCCCTCTCGATGGATGAGACCTCTCCCCGGGTCTCACCTTGGCAGGGGGTGGGGAGGGGGTTGGGAGGACAGAGCTGCACCCCCAGCGCTGTGACACCTTGCAAAGACTCGTAGAAATAACCCCCGGTGGGAGGGGTGCACCGGGTGGGGGACCCCTCCCCGTCCTGTACGCTGCAAACCAGACCCCTCCGCGGCGGAATTGCCAGTGTGCTTTGGGTTTTCTGGAGGGTTTCTTGCCTTTTTTGTGTGTGTGTTTGTGCTTTTTGGTTTTTTTTTTTTTTTAAAGGTGCGAGGGCTGTGCTGCTCCCTGCCGGGGCAGGGGGAGTTTGTGGGGGCGGCTTCCCCGCTCGAAGTACCGCGGGACCGGGAGCGGCCGCGGGTGTTCCGCGGGTCCCTGCCCGCCTGCCTCCCCCGGGACGCCCACCGCCGAAAATCCCGTTTTTCCGAGGTGAAAATCCTCCTGGATTATCCGAGACTGACCGCCCCCGCCGCCGCAGCCCGGGATTTGCCTTCCAGCAGGAACTCGCTTTAAAAATAAGTTTAAAGCGCCCGTTTTGCGGCACTAACGCCCCTTTCCCTGCCCTGTGGCAGCGCCTGGCGCTGGGAAAATAAATGTGAGATGAGACGGGCACAAAACGGGCTGGAGGCAAAGGCTGCGTGCCTTCCACTGGAGGAGCCAGCAATGCCGAGGGAATCCCGAAAAAATTTCTCCCTCTCTTTGCTCCAACCCCTCCTCTTTAAAGTTCAATATCAGATAAAATAAAGCGGAGCCAAAAAAAATGAAGGTCTGTCCCAGTAGAAGGCAAAGGTCCTCGTTTTCTTTAATTGTTACTTCGGGATAAGGAGGGGAAAAAATAATAATCCACGTTTTGTTTTTGGTTTTGTTTTTTTAACTTAAACTGATGGGTGAAGCCACCGTCCTTGCTGGCGGGTGGGGAAGTGATGCCAGAGGGTCTCGGAGCTGGAGTGAGGATTTCTGCAGGGAAAACGCTTCATCTCCTTGGTCGTCGGTCGCTGGTGAATTTGCCAAGAGAGAGGGAACCCAAAAGGAATTTTAATTCTTTTCATTTCCTTTCCAAACAGCGTTCTCTGCGTTTCGAAACTCACGGGAGATTTGCAGGAACAGGCGGCTGAATTCCCCAAATATAAATAATAACCAAATCAGACTACAGAATGGGACGGACGGAGATGCTCGGAGTGACGGGTGGTCCCTCTGCCCGGGGCCACGGCTGTTCGCCGGCTCTGACCATTCGGAATAAACAAATTGGGGGAAAATTATTATTATAATATAAATCCTGGTGAGTCGGGAATTAAAGAGGGATAGGGTAGAGGAATGCAGAGAGCAGCGACCCAGACGGTGCTGGGAAAAGCGGCTCAGCAGCCGAGGTGCGAATGCAACTGCAGAAAAGGGTTTTCCCCAAATAAAATAAAATAAAAATAAATTCAAAAAAACTGGAAAGAAGGAAGGAGAAAGACTCCCCGCAATTAATTCTGTCCCCACGGCTGTTGCGCTTGCGAGCAGGAACAGCCTGGGTTTCGGCACACGGAGCCGGTCGGGCTGGTGGGGCTGCTGTGATGTCCCCGGGGCTGGGCTGCTGCCACCCCCATGTCCCCTGGAGCCCTCGGGGATGTTTTGTTCACTTTGACTATTTTTTTCTGTCTTTTTAATATTTAAACCAAGGCGTAAAAGACGCTTAACATAAGGAATCGTTTCGTGATTTCAGTTCTTTCTCGTTATTTGGGGGGTTCGGGCGGCGGCTGAAAGAGAAAAAATGTTATTTATTTGCGGGGAAAATAAAATAATCCGGAGCAGGGTAGAATATTGGAGCCCAACTTGAAACGGGCATTATTCTTCTTTAATACGCCGTGATGAGGGTTTGTGGAAGGAGGAAAACAAAGTCCATTCCCCAATCGAGGGGGGAACTTCCTAAGGTGCCACTGAGGGAGACGCTGCGATGCCCCCACCCCGAGCCACACCGCGGAAAAAAACCTGCTCCCTGCTCTGCTCCTACCGTGACCCCCCCCAGCTTTAATCAGCATTCAGGAAATGCCAGGGAGACTTTGTCCCTAATCTGTGCTTATTAAGCAAAAAAACCCTACCACGCTTATAAAATCGCAGGTAAGAAGGAAACCCGCTATCGATCGCGTGCGCCGGGGATCGCCGCTTTATGGTGGGTTTATTTTTTGGTTAATAAAATGCAAAAAGTCTGGAATTACCTTTAAAACACTCCTTCGGACCGGGGCTGGAGCGGTCCGGCCCCGGCCCCCCGCGTGTCCCCGGAGTACCGGGTTATTCCCGATATATGCTGCGGGCACCGTGAGGTTTTTGGGGGCTCCTCGGTGGGCGGAGGGACCCCCCTCAAACACACACACACACACCCCGTCCGGGCCGTGTTGCTCTCTCGGAGTTTAGTTCAAAGGGAGAAAAATTTTATTTGATTTAAGGAGCAAATTCGGAGCAGCCCCGCGGGCCCCGGGCACGAGTGTTTGTGTCCCCCCCCACACGCCTTCCCGAGCTCTTTGTGCCCCCGCGGCTCCGCCGTTTCCCTTTAAAACCTGCCAAATACCCCCAAATAACCTTTTCCCCTCCTTGTCCCCGTTCCCCCGCACGCATCACCCCGATCCCCACCCCAAACCCTGCTGCGGTTCTCTCGCTCCCCGCGCCTCCGTGGCCGCGGAGGAGAGAGGTTGCCATATTTGCATATATGGTAATGAGCTCCTAATTGCCAGGCTTGCTGCGCTTTGCTGATCGATTTCGAGCAATCCAGAGGTTAAGGAAGCTTGGAAATAGCGCGGCTCCCCTCCCTTCCCCACAGCTCCCCCCTCCCTTCCCGGCCCCCCGCGCGAGATGGAGCTGGCCCCGCATTTGCATCCCAACTTTTTTTGACTCTCACACGTACACTTTACGTATCGGCTACGTGGAGGCTCCTCGGCCGCTCCTATATATCCTTACGCCGGGCACGGCCCCCGCTCCTCCGGCGGCGGCTCCGGGCTCGGGGCCACCGTGAAGACCCACGGGCCGCGGGGCCGGGGGGCGAGCAGGGCCGGGGCTGGGCAGGTGAGGGCAGGGAAGGTGAGGGCAGGGCAGAAACGGGCAGGCAAAGCGAGCAAGGGAGGGAAGGCAGGATAGGCAGGCGGGGAGAGCAGGTAGAGAGAGCAGGAAGGGAGGGCAGGTGGGAGCAGACGGAGCGATGCAGACAGGTAGGCAGGGAGGGCAGTGCAGGCAGGGAGGGCAGTGCAGGCAGGGCAATGCAGGGAGGGCAAGCAGTGCAGGCTGAAGAGTAGGGCAGAGAGGGTAGCGCAGAAAGGACCCGTTGCCCACATGGGAGCATCTCCCGCCGGCAGACGCCCCGAGCTGGGTGAAGAAGTAAGGGGGGAACCCGGGAGAAAGAAAGAGGAGCGGCCGGGCCGGACTCTGCCGGCCGACCATCGCCCACCCACCCCCGCCCCGTGCTCGCGGCCGGGCCGGGAGCCCCGCGAAGCCCCCGCGGAGCCCCCCGCAGCCTCCCGCGCCGCGCGGGGCCGGCCCCGCAGCCGGACAAACAATGTGAGACTTGGCGGAACAAAAGCGGCGGGGCTTGGGTTGCTGAACACGTCTGAGGCCAGACGAGCCGCGCGATTTATTGGACTCGGTAAGAAAACCATAATAAAAAAAAAAAAAAAAAAAAAAAAAGTGGGGCACGGAGGGTGAGGGGGGCGGAGGGCGGAGGGGGAGAGGGAGGACCCTCAAAGAACCTTTATTATGGGTTGGGGGTGGCAGCTCTGCGGGGCCGCGGGGAGGATGTCCCGGGAGCAGGTCCAGCTCCTGCTCGGGGCTGGGGGCGCGGGTACACCCAAGGCCGGCTGCGGGGTCGGAGTTTTTCCCAAAACCCCGGGGGGCAGGGGGAGCTTCCCTCCCTCTTCCTCTCCTCTCTCCCTCTCCCTGCCCGCGGCATCCCGGCAGCTGAGCTAAGAAAGTTTGGGGACGGCAGAGCGCGGTCCCCCCGAACCGCCGTGCTTTTCTCTCTGTTCTCGGATGACCCAGACCCACTCCGGGTGGGGAAGAGTTTCACTTCTTCTCCCGGCTCGAGGACCCAGTTTTGGGGTGTAGATGCTCCCCTCTGCAATCCCCCATTCCACCTCGGACAGGGAACGGGAGAGGCCTGGCAGGACACGGCCATTCCCAGTCCTCGCCCACCATTCACGCAGGCCCGTGGGCTCACTGTTGCCCCCCACGCCAGGCCACGGGGCTTTGCACTTTGCAGGAGGGGATGCGACCCCCGTGCCCGCGGTGGGGGGGAGAGGCACCTCCAGATCCTCCCTCCTGCAAGTGTCTTCCCCGCGAGAGAGGCCGAGAGGGACCGGGCCGGGTCGCAGCGTGGAGCGTGGGCGGCGTTGCGTGGGGACACGCACACGGGTGACCCGGGAAGTGGAGGGCCCTGTCACCCCCATTCGGGAGTGAGATTTTGGCGGGGGTGGGGAGGGGGATACGCAGAGCTGAGTGTTTCCCGGATCCGCACCCCGTTGTGGAATAAGCAAATCCCAGTGGATGGGGCTGGGAGTGAATTAAACCCGCGTGGGTTCAGAGCGCCCCTCCTCCGTGCGCGGCAGAGCGCAGCCGGGTGCGGAGCGGAGAGGACACGATCCCTCTCCCGCCTCGCAAACTTCTCCTTGCGTGGCATTTCTTAAATTTTTCCCCCCACCCCGGTCAGGTCCGACCAGCTCCGTTACTCACCGTCTCCCCCCTCGTAAATAAGCGGCCGTGGGGCGGCCCCGCCGAGGCTTCCCCTCATCAGGCTGCGAAGGGCACCCAAATTAAGTGGATTTAGGGGTTTTTTAGCAGTTATTGAAGTCAGACGTGATGCCCCGGCCGAAATCCGCCTCTCGGTTGCAGCGGGCCCGGGAGCCCGGTGCTGCCACCGATGGAAAATCCCTCGCAGCTTTTTCTTTTTATTTTCTGCTAAGGAAGCTTTAATTTCTATTTTAATTTGTATTTTTATTTTAACTTATATTTTAATTCTTATTTTCCTTTTCCTTTTTTTTTCTTTCCCTTTTTTTTCCCTTTTTCTTTTTTTTTTTTTTGGGGGGGGTTGTCTTTAAAATCCTAATCCTTGCGGTCTGTCCTTGAGACTCCCCTCTGCGCGGAGAAGGAGAAGAAGCTGCGCTCAAAGAGTGCGCGGGGAAAAATCAAACTGAGCTTATTTAGGGTTATTTTTCGGTTCGTGCGCGGATTCCCTGCTATGCAGAAAAGCACCTGGTACCCACCGGCTCAGCTTCTGCCCAACTCGGCTCCGTTTTTAGTCCACGAAAATTAGGTTTTTATTTATGCACTGGTGTACATGGAAATTTTAGGTCTGGAAATCCTCAAATTTGCTGTTATCGGGGCGATCCCGCTCCTTCTGTTTACCGGCGATTTGGATTTATTTTTTTCCCAGGAAAACAGTAAAGCACGGAGCAGGTTTTTATTTGCTAAGAGACCCAAAAACACACCCGAGCATCTTCTGTTAGTCGCCTGTGTCCTTCCCTAAATCCTCCCAAATCGGGATGGGTCTAACGCGATGTTATTATTAAATAAAATTAGAAATAAAACTGCACTGTCATCGGGGTGATCCCGGGGAGAATCCAAGTTTGAAAGCTAAATCCGTGTGTTTGCAACCTTTCTCTGGATAAATCGCAAAATTCGTCGTGTTTCTTCTTTAGGCGGGTTAAAAAAATAATTATAATTTCTGGAGGAGCCTGAAATAGAAATTTAGGTTTTTGGTTTTTGGTTTTGTGGTGGTTTTTTTTTTAAGTGACTTTAATAAAAAGGAGAATAAAAAGAGGGAGAGCGTATGGTTGTGTCTCTAAAATCCCATCTCGGCGAGGGTGGGGAATGGTTAAAGCCGGCCCAGCCGGGACCCCTCAGAGCTGCTCCGCGAACACCCACGCGTGGGGGCTGCGCGGGCACCCCCTGCGCTGCCGGCTCTCTAACCGACCCTTTGCGTGTCTTCTCTTCCAGGAGAGCCCCGGCCCCGGCTCCGGGTCCAGTCGCTGCCTCCCCCCCGGCCGGCCCCCAGCCCCGCTCTGCCCACGGGGGAGAAGCCGCTCGCGTGGGGAGCGCGGCCCAGGTGGGTGACGGGGAAACAAGGAGGGAGAAACCCCGGGCAGCGCCAGCCCCGGGGCGCGAGCAACGCCGGGAGGGCTTGGGAAGGGCCCTTTGCCTAAAAGAAATTGGGGGCTGCAATTCGGGTGCGGGTCACAGTTGGTGGGGGAGGGGAACTCCCTGGTGCCTCAAAAAAAGGCGCTGCATCCAACCCCACCCTCCATCGCCCGTGAGCACCCACAGAGTCTTCCCGAAATTTACATTTTCCTCCTCAACCGAGCCTGGAAGCGGCCGAAGGGAAGGGGGAAAATGCGCAACACACACACACCACACCCCAAACCCTTTTGTGTGGACGGGGAGCCCACAGACAAGCCGGGCTGGAGGCCACGGGGAGGGGCTGTCGGCGGAGCGGGGACAGTCCTGGGGGGCAGAGCCCCAGCCCCGGGAAATGGGGCCAGAATGGTTTGGGCTGTCCATAAGGCTGAGCTGTTGGGATCATCCCCACCACCACCTCCCCAGGTTGAGAAGGTTCCCTGTTGCCTCGATGCCTCACAGGACCCTCCCTGGGGTTATTTCCACATCCCTGGCCCCCTTTCCCCACTCCCAGGCAGGGCTGTAAGTGCTGGGCCTGATGGGAGCCAGACCAGTGGGCTCCCATTTTCCCAGTGTGGGCAAGTGGGAGAGAGGGCCCTGACAGGGTGGACGTGCCACCAGCAGGAGAATCTGGCTCCAGGAAGGAGACAAAAGCCATGAGCAACTTCCCACTCTAAACTCACAGACCCAAACCCATATGGCTTTATACTAGGGGAAAAAAATTCCAAGGTGAAGAGGAATTTTAAGACAAAATGTGGAGGGGAAAAAAAAAAAAACCAAAACAACCCCCAAACTCCATTCTTGTTCAAGGAAAAATCATTACTTTATTTTTGGTGGGATCTCTACTACAGCGGGAAAATCAGAGGGTAGTTAGTGGCCTGTGGGGTTAAAACTACAAAAATAAAATAGCTTTTGGTTCCATCTTGGAGCTGCAGAGCCCGGGTAGGACCCTGTGGCACTGGCACCACTCGGACAGCAGCAGAGATGAGCAGGGGTTCCCCTTACCGAGCCCCAGGGGGCTGAAACTGGGGGGCAGAGAGGGGGAGAGCTGGAGAGGTGGGTGGTGGGAGGATGGTCACGGCTGGCCGTGGGGACACTTAGTGTTGGGGGCGAGTGGTGGCGAGGGGTGGGGGCCAGCGGCGGTGATGAGGGTGACGGCGATGAGGGTGGTGGTGGTGCCAAGGGTGGTGAACGGGATGGACATGAGGATGAGGGCGGTGATGATGGTGCTGAGGGCAGTGAACAGGAGGGTGACGAGGACGATGGCGCCGAGGGCGGTGAGTGAGACGGTGGTGAGGGTGATGGTGGTGATAATGGTGGTGATAATGGTGCTGCGGGCGGTACACGCGACGGTGTGATGAGGGTGATGGTGATGGTGATGAGGGTGATGGTGATGAGGGTGATGGTGACGGAAGGTGATGGTGCTGGTGATGGCGATGGTGATGGTGGTTCTGAGGTGGGTGATAGCCACGGTGGAGACGCTGATGGTGGGGGGCGATGATGGGGAAGGGTGATGGGGGTGACAGAGACGGGGGGGTGAGAGGGACGAGGGCGACAGGGATGGGGTGTGTGTGTGGGGGTGGAGGTGGTGACGGGCGGCGGCGACGCGCGTGTGCGCGCGGCTCGCGGCCCCTCCCAAACCCATTGATGAACCGAGGGGCGCTGCAGAGGGGTGGGAGCCGGGGCGGGTGACGTCAGGAGGGGCCGAGCCAATGGGCTGGCCAGGAGAGGGCCGGGAGTGGGAAAGCATGAATGAAAAGTGCCGCGCGCCGCTCCCCCCGGCGCAGAGGCTGCGGGCAGCGGCTGCGGGCAGCGCGGCGGGCAGCAGGTACGAGCCGAGCTGAGCCTCGCTGAGCCCAGCCCAGCCTCGCCGAGCCCAGCCCAGCCCAGCCCAGCCTCGCCGAGCCCAGCCGAGGGCCCCGAGCTGCCGGCAGGGCCCCGGCCCCGCGCTGCCGGCGCTCCGCTTCGCGGGAGAAGGCGGGGGCGGAGGAGCCGCGGCGTCTCGGCGGAGCGAGGGCTCCACGTCCTCCCCGCAGCGCACGGAGGCTGCAGGTGAAGGAGGGATGGGAGCGGAGCAGGTCGCTCGGCGAGCGGAGGGATGCGGGTTGGAGGCGGGCGGGAGGGACTGCGGGGTGCCGCGGGGAAGGGGAGGGATGCGGGTTCCTCCCCTGGAGGATGGAGGGATGCGGGATGCCCTGGAGAGGAGGAGCGGTGCGGGGATGCGCGTTCCTCCCCCGGAGGAAGGAAGGGTGGAAGGACGCAGGTCACTCCCGGAGAAGGGGAAGGGTTCTCCCCCACCCCCGGAGAGAGGAGGGATGTAGGGATGCAGAGCCCACGGAGGTTGCGTGGTCCCCGCGAAAAAGGAAAGGACGAAGGGATACGGGGAGAGGAAGGCGAGGGATGCGGGTCCACACCAGGGAAAGCTCCGGTCCCCCCCGAACGAACGGAGGGATGCGGGTCCCGGTCCCCGTGCAGAGCCGGGGTCCTGAGCCGCGAGCAGGAGTCGCTGCCTTCCTTCTTTCCTCCTTTCATCATTTCCTCTGTGTTTTCTGTGTTCGTTCATCGCTTCTGTTCCCCCAGATCTTGGCTGAATCCAAAGCATCACAAGTTCTTATTTATATTAACCGTCAGGTTTTTCTCGCAGTCATTTTGTTTAGAGAGCGTTAAACGCATTTCTGGGTGGGGAAATGTCCTTTTGGTCTTCTATGCATATTTTAAGTTGCGGGCGCAAATTATATTTGCCTTGATTATTACCAGTTTGAATGCATTAATTTGATAGTTATTAAAAATAATGTGGGCTTAATTCTCGGCACCTGCACAATATCATTTGGTTTGCAAATGAAACAAATTGAAACTCGGCAGAAAATAGGCAGCTCCTGCGTGGCGATCCTGTAATTCTGCCCCAAATTGTGCTTCCGAGGGGCCTGATCCTGCCTGTCCCGGTGATGCTCGGGACTCTGTGCCCCGGGCTGCGGGAACAGGGCCAGGGCTGTAGCTGCGTGCGGATATTATGGACCTGGCTGCTAATATTTGCATCTCTTTTTATTCGTTTTCCTCCCTCGTTCCTTCCTTAAAAGCCACGTGCCCCCGAACCCCTGGAGAAGAGGAGGTTGGCTTTTTCCTGCTGATGCTGTAGACTCCAGGGGTTGGTTGTTATCTTTGGTTATCTAGCTGTATGAGTGGTGTCGATTCTTCATAAAGCTAGATAACCGAAAGTAAAAATAACCCCATTACACGCCTGAGGAGGATGTGGAGAAGAAAGGAAATTCATCAAAAGGAAGAGGAGGAAAAGAAAAAATGAAAAGAAAAAAAATAAAAAGGAAGAGAAAGGAAATGAGAGGCGGAAAAAAATGGGGGAAAAGACAACTTTCAGAGTCTGGAATTAAAACCCGAGGTAGGATTTTTTTTTAATTTTTTTTTTTTTTTTTTTTTTTAAGAACCCATTTTCCTCCTGTGATTTTATGAGTTTGCTAATTCTGGGCATGGGTAGAAACCGTCTGTGTTGAGAAAGACAAGAATGTTGCCGCTCTCTCCTCGGCTGTAAACCATAATTGAATTAACAAAGTAAAACTTCCAATCAGACTATGAATTAGTTAAGTCCAGGACCCAGACTACAGATCAAGGATGAACTTTCATTGCATAACCAGTCGTAGAGCATCAGAGAATCCATAAATCAATACAGATTACTGTGTTGGATTATCTGTTTAATAAAGCAGCAACAGAGCAATGTTTATTAATGGTTGTCTTGCAAATACGAGTACTGGATTCTTTCTCCTTTTCTTTTTTTTCCTTCCCTCCCCCACTCTCCCCTATCTGTTATACATTTAATTTTCTTCCCTGACAGCTATAACTTGATATCAGGATTAGAAAGAAGGATATGGTGATTTGGAAAATGGTTTCTTGCAGTTTTCTTTGTTTTTCTTCCCTAGTATCTCTTTCCAAACACTTTCTTTCTTCTTTTAACTCTTTGCCTATGAACATTTCTTTGAATAGACTCAAGATTCCAAGATTGGGGATTCACAAAATATATGGGTATATATAACTTGCATATGGAACCGTGTGAGACTATTTGGGGAACTTGATCTTGCTTAATTTATCTTCTCTGCAAATTCATGCTGGTTCTTACCCCTCTTTACTGGATTATGTATCAACCTCTTCCTTGTGGAAATCGAGATTTTTTTATTTTTTTCTTTTACTGCTCTACTGTAGAAGGGAATTTTGGGTCAAAGAGGTGAACTGGGTTTCTTCCCACTCACTTTTAATAGTGAGACTGGTTGCCTTGGCTGCTGCCTTCAAAATACAGCAAACTATTTGCAAAGGTGTCTTGACGTTGCTTAGAAGAACACAAAGGTCTCGTGATGGATTAAGATCAAATAATCTCAGAGCAGTGATTCCAAGGAGAGAGGAAAAAAAAAAAAGGGCTTAATAATAATAAAGAGCTAATGCGGGTGACGGCACCTGAACTAATTTTGGAAAGGAGCAATTATAGCTTTGTGACTTTATGAAAACCCTCTTGTGAGAGATGTAGAAATGAGCTGACTTTTGACCCCTGCTGGACCCGCTCGTTTTGCTCATGTGCTCATCAGGATCTTTAAAAAAAAAAAAAAAGGAAGGGCAGAAGAAACTGTCCCTGGCACCTCGACCAGGGAAGGGCTGTGGCGCTGCGTGTGACACCAGAGATTTATCCTGCGCCTTTGACTGCTTGAAATTAATAAACAAGGTATTTTTTTTCCCCCCTCACCCATGGTCCTGTAATTCAGAATAATTTAGTGCCTGTGTTAACTGGGGGTTCATGTAATGATCTTCTCGGGGAGAGCTTGGGGAAAAACCTCCTCTCTGTCTTCCCGCCGAGGTTCACCCGGGTGCTGCTATTGTTCCTGGGGCTGTTCCTCGGTGGTGGCAAGGGTGTAGGGAAGTTTTGACAGGCTCTTT